GAAATACTCCCCCCTTATATTCCTGTAACGTTGAACACAAAAATCCAGCCCCCTTCTTTATTTCAATTCCAGTATTTTCATCTCCTTTCCAACAACCTCCCAGCTTCCTCATCAGCTTGTGCGGTCTGCTTCTGAGCTTCTTTCGCCTTTAAAGCTCTGTATTTGCTCGGTCGAGCCCTTTTCGTCTTCTCAGAGTTCAAACAAACTGAAATAGAATATGCAAGCAACAAAACCCAGTCGAAATAAGGTAAAAATTATACCTTTTTTATATAGCTTCAAGATTGGTACAAAAGCTTCGATCTCTTTGGTCGTAGGATTTTTTCTTCTCGTAATCGTATGATCTTGTGTGTGTAATGGTGTTGATTTACATGGGTATTTATAAGGTTCTGTGAATCCTACTTTTAAGAGTTTTAAATCCTAGTGAAAATACTGATATTTGGGTTCGTTCCTATTTCATGCGTGTACGATGCCTTAAGAACCGGGTAGTTGACCGAGAGCTTCGGCTGTTTTGGGTTCGTGCATCGTGGGGAGTCTTTGCTGAAGGGGAAATATGGTTTACGGGTCCACTGCTGGACCCGGGTCGCAGCTCCAGCGGGTCTTGGTTGTGTAACTTGGGCTGCTGCATTGGGCTCGTACTTCAGGCTACTATTGGGCCCTCAAATTCAATCTAGATTTATAAAAGAAGTCTCCTTTAAAGTATCCAAATTCACCACTTTCAGAGCTTAAACAAACCCAATTTGAGATTAATCCAAGGGGGATTAGAAAACGTACAGAAAAGCAAAAGATAGATATAACCAGAGAAGAGGAAAACGTAAGTAGTGGGTAAATCAAGAATCCTAAATATGGAAATTTCCTTAAAGGATTTTTCTGTTCTTCCCCTTCTATCTTCAAAATATCGAATTTTTGTTGGGTTTTTAAGCTTCGGAGGGACTTTTTGTTGGTTTGAACTCTTGGTTTACTGTTGATCCGTTGTGGGTTCTCCTTGATCTTGTTTTGGTTATTTGGTTTACTGTGTTTATGCTTCTGAGATTTGCGTGGGCCTCCCTTCCCTGATGGCCGTGGTGGGATATTTATACCCACCCCACCGGGGGTCTGCTCCGATGATAACGGTAACGTGCTCGTGGTTAGTTGGCCGGGATTTCGGGATGGTCAGTCCCGATCTCCTCGGCCGGGAAATCTCGGTGGCCGGTGTGACTGACCCTTGACCTCCTTGGCTTACGCTGCGCCTGTTTGAACATACGTTGGACCCTAATCTGAGCTCTGGGCTGGATCAGGCCTCGAGTTGGACTGTTTGGACCCTAAAAAAAACATAAAAGAAAATAATAAAAGAAAATATAATAATAATAATGATATAATAAATTATATAATACATATATTTCAAAATATTTTTTAAAACTATATATTATATTTAAAAAAGTTTTCAAAACTATTATATAGTTTTCAAAATGTTTTAAAAATATTATATAAGTTTTTTAAAAAACGTTTTTAAAACTATATATTATATAATTATTCAAAAATGTTTTTAAAAACTATATATTATAAGTTTTTAAAATGATTTTAAAACTATATGTTATATATTTTCTAAAATGTTTTAAAAACTATATGTTATATAGTTTTCAAAAATATTTTAAAAACTATATATTACCCATATTTTCAAAATTTTTCTTTTAAAAACTATATATTATATATATTTCAAAAACCGTTTGCAAACCATATAATATATATAGTATATATGTATAAAATAATAATAAAAATATGGACGAAAATTAGTGTCTACAGCTGCCCCTCTTTATCCTTTTTCGTGGAACGAAAAAATAGGACAAAGACAAAAAGACACAAATTTTCGTTCGGTGGAGTTGAAGAATAAACTCCCTGTCGAATTGAGTTGTAGATGGTTCCTCCGTCGTGAAGTCGAGTCCATATTGAAATGATATGGAATTGAAGCTGCAATTCGGAATTTGAATCTGGATGTGGCTTCTCATTTCCAATGTAGTCAACTTCGGTTCTTCTCGGTTTAAAGATCTGGGTTGGAAAATTCGACTTGAATGTAGTCTCTTGACTCCACCCTGTGGTTGATAGGCCCTCGAGCTGAATAAGATCGAACTCCGAAGGTCTTCGTTGACAAATAGCTTTTCTCGTCTTAAGCTATACTGCCGGAAAAACGGTTTATTGTCACTAAGGCACAGTTAACCCAGGTGTTATTCTCGACTTGAAAACCTTGATTGCAGCCGGACAATAGTGTGATTGAGGTGTCATCGAGTTTATTGGAATCGAACTCGACAATTTTATTGACAGATAACCCTTCTTGCATTGAGCTATTTTGTAAGCCTGATTTGCCTCTAAGTTGAATATAATCGAACTCGAAGGTCTTTAGCAGATAGCCCTTCTCGACTTAAACTATGCTGCAAAATGATGTGCCTTGGAGCTGAGCGGAGTCGAACTCGAAGGTCTTTTGGTCACAGATAACCCTTCTAGCTTTGAGTTATGCTGTAAATGATGTGCCGTTGAGCTGAGCGTAGTCGAACTCAAAGGTCTTTGGTTGGCAGATAACCCTTCTCGACTTAAGTTGTATTGCAAATGATATGCCTTGGAGCTGAGCGTAGTCGAACTCGAAGGTCTTTTGTTGGCAGCTAACCCTTCTCGACTTAAGTTATGCTGCAAATGATGTGCCCTCGAAGCTGAGTGTAATCGAACTCGGGGGTCTTTGGCAGATAGCCCTTCTCGATTTAAGCTATGCTGCAAATGATGTGCCGTTGAGCTGAGCGTAGTCGAACTCAAAGGTCTTTGGTTGGCAGATAACCCTTCTCGACTTAAGTTATGCTGCAAATAGTTTGTTAAAAAATGGCTTCCCTTTATGGGTCAAATGGTCATGATTCTTCAGGTGGTTCCCCTAAGCTGGTCTGGGAAAACCTACTGATAAATTCTGACAGCCGGATATCTTCCGTCGTGGAATTGAAATCTGGCTTGAAAGTGTTAACTGGAAATATGTTGCTCATTGTTGAGTTGAGCTGAACTGAATTTGATCTGAATTGGTTCTCGAACCCATCTGAAATTGGTTCTGAGATCCGTATATATGTAAAGTCGGTTGAGGTGTAGCTTCTTGCTGCTGAGTTACATCATCGTTCTTTAAAGGTGCTTGCAAGTCGAGTATATCTTGAAATAGAATTGAAACCTGACTCAAAGGGCTGTAAAAAATGTATGCTAAAATGATGAATGTGATGCACCTAAGTATGTCTAAGATGCATGCAACATGAATAAATTATGTGTTATTTCTTGGATGGAGTCTCGTGCTTTGCCTGCCAATCTGGTCCATGGAATCGATCGTACCCCATTTGCTTCTCGAGCTTGGGCTTTACAGACATTTCATATCTGAGATTGTTCTGTTTGAAAACATTTTTCTCCTTTTTCTTGTTTCAGGAGAGAGAAATGTAAAGTATTGTTCGCAATTGAATCAAATTGTGAGTTCAAAAAATATCAAAGGAATCAAGAGCTCTTTTAATGCTTTCAGAGTTACAAATCTTTGACAAATGTTCAAAGGGACAAGTCGGCTTTAGGTTGGCCTCCTTTCTAAGGTTTTTTGGTAAAAAAATGTCATTTTTTAAATATCACAACATGCTTTGGTACTTTAATTGGGTGCGGACAAAATGACGCAACTAGCATGATCAATTACTAGACCTTTTATCTCAGTCCTCTGGAATCTTTCATTTGTTCAAGCTTTGTAGGTTCTTCCAACAAAGGCAGTGCAAAAAATATCGGTCTAAAAATGAGATTCTTGAGTGCTCGTGTGTAGTTGACTATAACAGGTGTTCCTTAACTCCCTTAGTCCATTTTACCGAAAATTTCTTAGATAAATTTCATTTACTTTGCCATTGTCTGGCTAGCACAATCCATAAAGCCGGGGCGTTCAACCAATTGCTTTAGAGGGGCAGCTTGGTATTATAATTACTTTTATCAGGTTTAACTGAAGGGTTCGTTTCATCACAAAGTCTTTGGCCTGACAAAAGCAGTGGAGCAAACACCGAATTGCCAAGTTTTCGAGCAATGTCATGGTTTGAACGTAATCTACTCATAAGGCCAGGGCTTTCAAGTTTCCTCTATAACCAATTGCCTTAGCGGAATAGCTCAGTTTTTACGGATTTAATTTCTTAAGATTGTTAAGAAGAACCTGTTATAGCCTAGGTATTTGTTGAAAGTCAAAAAATTTCATTTTTAGAGTTCAATTTTCGAGCAGCTGACCTAAACTAGATTCACTTACTCGACTCTTTCATTTGTAAAGATCATCGTCGTCATTGAACGTCTTAAATAAAAAACATAGTAATTGTCATATGTAAATGATGCCCCGTGTTGTCCGCATCCTACGAAAGGAAAAGGGTATATTGGTTAATTCCAAGAGCAGGATATGGCGTTTGAGTGTATATTCTGGATAAGGTCAAAGTCATTGTTTTTAAACCATGTTACTTCGTCAAAGATTCATAACTTTGAATCATTTACAGAGTTTCTTAATTCAAATGATATGCAAAGAATTACAAATTTGCAAATATGATCCATTGCTTAACATCTTTTAAAGTAACATAAATTTGATTAAAATGTTCTTACAAAAACTGGAAAAAAAAAATGGAAGAAAAACAAAGTCAAACAGAATGCCTTAAATGATGAAATGATATTCCTCACTTGGATGCCCCCAAGTTGTTGAAGTCGATCCAGTTCTGTACGCATCTTTTGTACGACCCTCTTGAATGCGTAACAGTTCTCAATTGTGCCCTGGGACTCCGCCGTGATATTCACAATACGCATTCTCATCATACCACTTGGGTATGGGGGCTTCATGGGTTCTACTGGATATGGTGACACCACATGGGTGTCAAGAAGTTGCTGGTAAAGCTCTTTGTAGGTCATGGGAATTGGGTCGAAATGTTCCCTTTCCCTCCTGGAATCTTGTTTAGAAGTACCTAACGGTACAGCTGCAGTTGATTTTGGGCTGGAGATTGTAACACCTTTGTTGGAGTGTTTGATGTTATTAACCTCTCCATCCCTCTCCCTCATAGGAGGCTTCTTACTGGTTTCACCATCCTTAATTTTGCCTTGCTTTATGGCTGACTCAATCATTTCTCCGGCCATAACCAAGTCTGAAAAGCTTCCTGATGTGATCGCCACCAAATGCCCGAAGTATGGAGCCTTCAGAGTCTGCACGAAAAGTTTCCGGGTTTCCTTTTCATCTAACAGTGGATGAACTTGCACAGCCCAGTCCCTCCATTTTTGTGCGTACTGCCTGAAACTCTCGTTATGCTTCTTTTCCATGTTTTGTAGCATAACTCGATCTGGCCTTATATCATTGTTATGCTTGTATTGTTCCAGAAATGACTTGGCCAGGTCCTTCCAGGTCTTGATATTTGATCGGCTGAGCTGGTTGTACCACCGAATGGCTGAGCCCGACAGACTATCCTGAAAACAGTGGATCAGGAGTTGGTCGTTTCCTCCATATCCTGTCATCTTTCGGCAAAACATGGTGATGTGAGCGGATGGACAACTGTTTCCGTCAAACCTCTCGAACTCCGGGGACTTAAACTTCGGAGGAAGAACTAAGTCCGGGACTAGACTAAGTTCTGCTGCATCAATTTCATGGTAGTCACGGTCTCCTTTGACTATATTCATTTGGTCCTCCAATTGTTTGATTTTTTCCTCCATCTTCCTCGTTTTTTCCTCTTCGTCCAAATCCGGTACATGGTAATAACCCGGATTGTTCCTAGGGTTAAATACAGAGGACAAGGGCTTTGATTTTGCAGCAGATGAATCCCCTCGAAGTTCTGGTAGGATTTCAGGTAGATAACCACTGCGGGGTAGGTTGTATAGTTACCCCTTCCGGTGAACCTGCCCCGGGCGCACTGGTCTGTTGTAGGCCAACTAACTTGGCAACGATCTGGTCACCAAGGACTCTTGGTTCTTTGTGATTGTTTCCAGAATATTTCGACTGTTCTGGTTTATCTTGTCCTCTAACTCCTTCTGTAGTTTTACATATTCTCCTCGATTTGTGTAATTTTGGCTTCCATCCTCTTCTTTTTCAAACGAGTGTATGTGGATGGGGTGTGTCCAATACTGAGGCGGTGTATCCAGTATTTGCTCCCTTTGATGAGACATGTTTATGTTAGTTAATGTGAATGCAGAGAAAATAATAAAATGCAAAGAAAATAAAAAATGCAAAATGTCTAAATATATGATGCATGAATGTTCGAGGCATTGATCCAAAAATGTGCCTGTTTCTGAATAACCCTTATTGGTGACAAAAGTGTTACGTCTGAAGAGACAAAAAAACTCTTTTTGATGGTACGAATCCTGTACAGCGTCTGACAAGTTGATTCGTCTTTTTCACTAGTTGAATATCCTGTCGAACCATTCCGGCTCCTTTGGCTAAAATGTGAATAATGAGATGCTTGCCCCAAAAAAGATCTCGAAGGACTGCATCTTCGACTTTCACTTTCTACCGAGCTTGTTTCTAACGAAGTGTCATTGGAGCCCCATCGAGAGAAACTATCCGAAGCTTGCTTATTGAATTCGCAGTAATGGTATCTAGCTCAGCTAGTGTCACTATCTTGTTCTTGTAGTTTTCGAAAGGAGCGACCGGGTCAGTGACCTCTCCTCGTCTTGCCCCTGCAACTTTTGCCTCTGAGTATTCTTTGATCACGGTTGGACTTCTGAGCTTTTTATCTCTTTGTATTATAACCCTTTGCCCATTAATGCAGATTATTTACGTTTAACAAACACATTTTTGGTGGATCAACACCCGTTTTTAAATGATGCGAATGATAAAAACATAATAAAAGAAGACAAAAAATAAAAGAGTTAGTGAGGTAATCAAAACAATAATAAAAATGAAAAATCCTACCCCACATGATATCTACCCCACATGCTTTAATTCCTGCCCGGACATGATCTCTATCCGCATGCTAATTTCAAAACAATCCTAACCGCATATTTGTCTAGTTCGCATGCTTTTGAACAGAAAATAAAGCAGGAAATAAAACCAGCCTAGGGTTTGGAATGAGGTTTTGGGGTGGGCTCTAGTTCCCTGTACCTCCGGTTTAGGTTCTAAAAAACGGTACTCGAGTTCTTCTTGCCGGTGCCCCCTTGGGCTTACCAGACCCTTAGTCCTAAGCCCATTACAAGCTTATGTGGACTAAGTTAACTCGAGGGGAAACATTCCCTTATGCCCATACGGAGAATAAATTCACACGAAGGCATAGGTATATGAATCCCGAAGGTTACTTGCTAGGCCCATACGGTGAATAATTCACACGAAGGCGTCGCTTTGCCCCCACTTAAAACGGGTTTGGAGCTCGGGTATAGAGCCTGAGAAAACTTTGAAAAATCTGACATCATTAAAAAATGTTAGTACAACTATTTATTTGAAAATAATCAAAGGTAAATAATTGGAACCGATAAATAAATTTAAATTTAAATTTACAATTTTCGCATAAAAAGACAACCAGAAATTAATTCTGGCCTGACTCACTTACCTGTCCCCAGCAGAGTCGCCAAGCTGTCGTAACGTATTTCGGTTGGGCCCGGAATTGGTCTTCGACGGGATGATTGGGTTAGAGTCGCCACCGACCATTTTAAAATGAATTTAGGTGGTCGGACACCATTTTCTGCTCTTGTACCAGAAACGTGTCGGGTTCGGGAGTCGATTACGGCAAGGAAGGGTTAGCACCCTTGAACCGCCCTTTCGGTACCATTAATTTGTCGGTTGTCTTAGTTGCGAAAATTAGAAATTTAAATTTAAATTTGAAATATTCGATTTATTCGATTTGAATACTTACCTCGGATGATTTGAAAGCGTACCCTTAAAAAGTCAAGACACTTGTTAGAAGGAAAAAAAGTAATGAAAAAAAATAAAATAAATAAAAATTAAAAAACAAATGAAATAAATAAGATAAGATAAGATAAAGAAAATAAAATAAAATAAAATAAAATGAATTTAAATAGGATAAATATAATAAAGGAAAAATAATAAAAAATATAAAGAAAAAGAACAAGGGAAAAATAAATATATAAAAAAAGTAAAAAAAATAAAAACTAGAAACTAGAAATTAGAAATAAAAAAATAATACACTAAAGATAAAAAATTAAATAAATTAAATAATAAAAGAGAGTATATATAATGATAATAATAATAAAGGGAAAAAAAAATAATATATATATATATATACGTATAAACAAAGTAATAGAAATAAAAGAAATAAAATAATAAAAATAAAGAAATAAAAATAATAAAATGATTAAAAATAAAATATAATATATATATGTAATCGTATAAATAAAAAAAAGAAATAAAATAATAAAAATAAAATAATAATAATAAAGATAAAAGATTAAATTAAAAGGGAGACAAAATTAGGGATGAATTTAAAAGGAAATTGGCATGTAAATTCGATCTAGGGGCGAAACGAATACTATAAAAAATGTGGGACCTGAAAGGGATTAACCCTAAGATAAATGAATAAAGCATGAAGTTTCCAGACTCCAGGGACCTGACATGTGATTTACCCAAATAAGTAAAATGAAATACTCCCCCCTTATATTCCTGTAACGTGTGAACACAAAAATCCAGCCCCCTTCTTTATTTCAATTCCAGTATTTTCATCTCCTTTCCAACAACCTCCCAGCTTCCATCAGCTTGTGCGGTCTGCTTCTGAGCTTCTTTCGCCTTTAAAGCCTCTGTATATTGCTCGGTCGAGCCCTTTTCGTCTTCTCAGAGTTCAAACAAACTGAAATAGAATGCAAGCACAAAACCCAGTCGAAATAAAGGTAAAAATTATACTTTTTTTATATAGCTTCAAGATTGGTACAAAGCTTCGATCTCTTTGGTCGTAGGATTTTTCTTCTCGTAATCGTATGATCTTGTGTGTGTAATGGTGTTGATTTACATGGGTATTATAAGGTTGTGAATCCTACTTTTAAGAGTTTAAATCCTAGTGAAATACTGATATTTGGGTTCGTTCCTATTTCATGCGTGTACGATGCCTTAAGAACCGGGTAGTTGACCGAGAGCTTCGGCTGGTTTGGGTTCGTGCATCGTGGGGAGTCTTTGCTGAAGGGGAAATATGGTTTACGGGTCCACTGCTGGACCCGGGTCGCAGCTCCAGCGGGTCTTGGTTGTGTAACTTGGGCTGCTGCATTGGGCTCGTACTTCAGGCTACTATTGGGCCCTCAAATTCAATCTAGATTTATAAAAGAAGTCTCCTTTAAAGTATCCAAATTCACCACTTTCAGAGCTTAAACAAACCCAATTTGAGATTAATCCAAGGGGGATTAGAAAACGTACAGGAAAAGCAAAAGATAGATAATAAACCAGAGAAGAAGGAAAACGTAAGTAGTGGGTAAAATCAAGAATCCTAAAATATGGAAATTTCCTTAAAGGATTTTTCTGTTCTTCCCCTTCTATCTTCAAAATATCGAATTTTTGTTGGGTTTTTAAGCTTCGGAGGGACTTTTTGTTGGTTTGAACTCTTGGTTTACTGTTGATCCGTTGTGGGTTCTCCTTGATCTTGTTTTGGTTATTTGTTTACTGACGTGCTCGTGGTTAGTTGGCCGGGGATTTCGGGATGGGTCAGTCCGATCTCCTCGGCCGGAAATCTCGGTGGCCGGTGTGACTGACCCTTGACCTCCTGGCTTACGCTGCGCCTGTTTGAACATACGTTGGAACCCTAATCTTTTTAAGCTTCGGAGGGACTTTTTGTTGTTTGAACTCTTGGTTTACTGTGATCCGTTGTGGGTTCTCCTTGATCTTGTTTTGGTTATTTGGTTTACTGTGTTTATGCTTCTGAGATTTGCGTGGGCCTCCCTTCCCTGATGGCCGTGGTGGGATATTTATACCCACCCCACCGGGGGTCTGCTCCGATGATAACGGTAACGTGCTCGTGGTTAGTTGGCCGGGATTTCGGGATGGGGTCAGTCCCGATCTCCTCGGCCGGAAATCTCGGTGGCCGGTGTGACTGACCCTTGACCTT